TATGTTGCCTCTGCTCTATCTGCCTCCACTTCCCCACCTGTAAGGTCAGGGTGTTGCCCCGGCAACCGCTGAGGTCTCCTTTGCTTCTGGCATAGGCTTTCACTCTCTGGCTCCCACATATGCTCACAGTAGGTCACCAGCACTAAGTATGGGGTTCATCCATGTGGCAGTCATTACAACTTGGCAGAAACCAAATTCCAGCTGTTCACATCTGGAATTATGTGGAGATACGTACGGACAGAAATCTGTCTCTGTAAGAAGCCCCATGCCTGGGACAACAAAGAAGAAAGAATAAGTACTTCCCTAAGCACCCAAGTCCCACACCTGTCAGTAACTCAGACTCTACTCAGGACGCTGGGACCTTAGCTGCTTTTTGCTCTCCCTTCTCTTACAAATACCGTCATACCAGAGATTCCAAAACCAAGGGAATAGTTAGTTATAATTCTCTGATGTTCATTATTCTGACCGAAGGTTGAGATATGTAACTAGTGAGTTATCACATAAGTGACTCAGAAGGTGTGAGCGTGCTACTCGTCAAAAATCCCAGAATGTCAGCCCTGCTTTCGGACGAGGCCCATTCACTATAATCTACCGGGATTCCTGCTCATACTCAACGCCATCTCCGGAAAGACTTGTGTTTTGCGGTTGTTCTGGACTTAAATCCAAACCTGGCTATTCACTAGCCACACTGCTTTGAACAGGAATTTCCACTTTCTAAGATAAAGTTCTTTATGGGGGTGGGGTGCAGCTTGAGTTCATCATATGAAAAAAATATTTTGAAAGTAAATAATTTACTGTATTAAAATTATAAGCACGTAGCAAATTCCGAGTTAAAAGTACACTTGCTGAAAGAATAAATAAACAAATGGAACAAGAAGAATAAGAATTTCGAGGTTAAAACATCACTTAACAGGTCTCTGTGTGTGGTGTGTGTGTGTTGCCAGGCGGTGGTGGTACATGCCTTTAATCCCATCACTTGGGAGGCAGAGGCAGGCAGATCTCCATGAGTTTGAGGCCAGCCTGGTCTACAGAGCTAGTTCCAGGTATGTGTGTATGAATGTCCAGAGTCGTGGTAAGGAAGGCTGGCAGAGAAAAATAACACAGGATCTATGATTAAAAACCCAAGAAACATGAAGCATGAAACAACCAAATGGAAAAATCTAGCTTCTCACATACAGAAATATCATTTGTCTACCCTAGAACTCATGTAGATACAGCCTTCAGAGTATCTATAAAGCCTTCAAGTAGTCTGGCATTCTTTGAGGATGTGTATATTTGAGATAGGTCATAGTTTCATATGTGTCCTCTTTCTCCTCTCCTGTCTCCACCAACCCAAGTTATAGCAATGATCATATTAAACAAGAGCGATGCTCTGTTTTTCGCTCCTAGCATGGCTGAAAACTTGCTAAGAGAGCAGAGGCAAACTGGAAATTAAGGAAATCAGAGTTGGGGATCCTAGCATCTCTAACCAACTCTCAACTCGCTGAAGGAGAATCAGAGGTTCAAAGAAAAGTCTGCCCTTCCTAATGTCATCACACAATGACCAGAGCAAGAGTCTGAACCACAGACAGTAAAATAGTTCCTAATCTCCAAATCTTAGTATTCTTAAAAAACCCCTCCAGTTTTAACATTCTGACTTGCCTTAACACACTGGATAATGCAAACAACAGATGAGGGACTAACCTTTATTTAGTGGTGTTAGTAACGGGTGAGTTTACCAGAGCCTTGAAAATCAGAACACACAACAATATCATCGATAGAGCAGCGGTTCTCAACCTGTGGGTCACGACTCCTCTGACAAACCTCTATCTCCAAAAATATTTGCAGTAGCAAAATTACAGTTATAGAGTGGCAACAAAGCAATTGTATGCTTGGGGGTCACCACAACGTGAAGAACTGTATTAGAGGGTTTCAGCATTAGGAAGGCTGACAGCCACTGACATAGACAGCTGAGCCCCTTACTTTCTAACTTGAAATTTTGTGTTGTTGAAGCTTGGGACAGTCAGGTGTCCAATACCCAATTACAGAGTGCATATACTCTAAAATTCCCATCAGTAACTGTTCTCCATTAGATCAAAGAATCAAGGGTTAAACACAATCCCAATTTTCCACACCAGGCTCTTTGATGAAGTCACAGGGTTGTGGAAACATGGCAGAAGGAAGAAGGATAATATTCTAGTCACTAGAATATTTAACAGAAGAAGAAAAAACCAGGATCATCTGGTCCACCTTTGCCCATCAGCAGATGCTGGGATGATCTCAGAGACAAAAGAGGCCTTGCCCAAGGTGACACAGCCAGCTGATACCAAGACAAGGGACAGTCACAGGCTCATTGCTTCCATTCCACATGACACACAGAGCATACTGCTGCACGCCCCAAAGCAATGAGAGTCTATCCAGGTAGCAAAGGAAGAAACCCACACATGGTTACCACTTCTGCTACACATCACAGAGAAGAAACAGTAGCTGACTAGGTTTATTCAAGGCAGACCAAGACAATTTCCCAAAACTGAAAATTTAACATTGCATATAGGTGATATAAACAAGTCCATGGGGATTAATTTGGTATTATTCCTCTAATGAGTCACCATGCAGAAAATGGAGACAGCCAATGGTCTGCAGGAGGCCAGAAGTCAGATCTTGTTCTAGAACAGAGACCAATGATTTGGAAATGATACCTTATGTTCTTTAAGAGTAAACAGGGTGTACAATTTCAAATGCCATGAAGTGAGGCTTTAAATAGATTTGGTTTGGAAACGGGACAAGGAGCACACCACAGTTGGTGGATCAACATCAAAAGGAGAGGAAAAACAATGATTACACTCATTGACATCTGCTGACATGTACACGTCAAGTCTAATTACGGATTTAAATGGCTATCCTTTATTATTCCCACTAATACCCATTTTTACAAGACTGTTTTACACGTGTGCATCATGCTCCCAGAATATTTAGTTCTCCATCTTCCAAAGGTTGAGCTAATTCTATCTCTTAGTCCCCCATGAACCCATAAATCCAAAAGATAGGGACTACATTGCAGGATATATCGATGACTGACAGATGCACATGGATAGGTAACAAACAGATGTGTAAGGAGGCAGGTAGGTAGGTAGGTGGGGAGAGGGGGAGAGAGAGAGAGAGAAACAGACAGACAGACAGACAGACAGATAAATGTAGGTAGATGGTAGATTGGTAGCAGTTGGGTAGGTAGGTAGGTAGGTAGGTAGGTAGAAAACTTTCCCATTTTAAGCAGCAATTTTTATAACTTTTCAAGGTTGAATTAAAATATCTTTTTAATCCTGAGTTGGATGTCATTGGGGAGAGGGGATGCAGCTAACTAAATAACCTTCCCGGCTTATCCTATCACCATTTAATAAGGGAAACTAAGGGAATAAGCATGTGATAACTGCAATCCCTAAACAAACAGCTCTCTCGAGCAGATTTCTGAAGTAGAAAATTTAGGTAGATTCACTTTTTAAACCCCCTTTGTATTAGGCATTCTGACTGTCCTAATCGGTCTAATGATTCACCCAGTATAAGTCAGAGGACAGACGGGGATACTCCCTCTTCTTTACGGTGTTGACCGTGGGTGAGTTGGCTAGATCCCCCGAAAGTTAGACCCCATACTAACATCAGAGAATAGAGGAAGGTTACCTTTCTTCCTTTCCAACTTGAATGTACATGTCATGGGGTCTATCAAAAGCTGGAACAAGAGATGTCTTCAGGAAGTTCTCTTTTGATATATTTGTCCATGACAATGATATGGTAGACACAAGGCTTTGTGTGGAGATTTTGTATGCCATAGTATGACTGAAAGAAACTTTCTTGCATCATTTTTTGGCATCCACGTCTCTTAATAACATTTTCTTTTGTAGAGCTAAGAAAAAATTCACCTATACTCACAACTGAGTTAATTCAAGAAGTTTCTCAATTCGTGTCACCCACTTGTTACATATTTAGTATATCTAATAAATATTAGCTTTGAAAATCATATTAGCCTAAAACCATAATTCCCACTTGATTCTAAATGAGTAGTTCCTGTGCTTATGGGGAAATACCAACCAAATTCAGGTTTTTTAAAAAAGAACTGTGTGAAGTCATGTTTGCAATTCATCATCACGGAAATAGTACACCAAAGTTATTAACACAGTGTTCTGTGGAAGAAACGTTTATAGCAATATGATGACTCCAAATCTAGAACTGCTTTCTACTCCAAGACCTTGGGTCACAAACATCCTATTGACGACTTCACCTCCTGGTAAAGAGGATCATACAGTACACAGAGGCTTCACTGGGAAGGATAAAGAACAGCAGGCTGGCTATACAGAAAATTAGAAGAGCTGAATGACAGGTATTCCTTTTCTCTTCTAACAACCTCCATTTTCTCAGTAATACATGATGAGGTTCTCTCCAATGACCTCTCTGGCCTTAGCAATGGTCCATCAACAGAGGGGCAAGACACTGCAAAAGACTAACTCACTCTCTGTGTTCTTACTTCACTGCAACTTGGAAGTCCTTGGTGTGGGAGTAGACGGTTATCAGAGAGATCAGACAAAATGACTAACCCCTAGAAGCATTCCTTAGTCCAGAGCCAAACAATTCTGATGGTATCATAGAGTAAAAATTACACTCAAAGAAGGAAAGCTGAGCAGACAAGGTTGAAAGCCAGCCTGTTATACATTAGCCAATGGCATGTTAAAACCATGGAAAAGACTACCCTAATGTATAGCACCACTGTGGATTCTCCGATGGTGATTACATGTCACTTTTCCATATTGTCCAGATGCTTCCCTGTTAGGTGTTCAAAGAGCAGAAATTGAAAGGAAAAATTAAATCAAGAAGACATAAAGGGAAGGCAGGTTACCATCTCATATATTTTTCCTGATTCTCATGAACATAAAGTACTTTTCTGTGTCTTCCATTGGGAATCAACCTTGAGCATCATAGGTTTGGGTGGCTATTAGCATTATGTAATTGTGAAGACTCCAATCCTCTCTTACCTCAAGCAACTTCTGGCTTTTGGAATGGACAATGGGCAAGGCTCACCCAGACGATGTGTTAGTCTCTGTAAATTAAAACAGGCAGAAGTTACTTGTGGATACTGGACTCCAAGCGTACTTTACCCCATTAATAATAACAACCTTATATCTATGCAGCAGTTTGTTTAGAAAACATTTATGCATTCATAAATTCATTAAACCCATGTGAGCCTGATAAATAAATGGAAAGAGATTATCCCATTCATAAGTGAGGGAAGTAGGACTTCATAGAGAGGCAGAGAAAGACAAGCGAACTGGTAAATCTTATGTAGAATTTCACAAACAACACTAAAAATGGCCTTTAGCTCAGAAATGATGACTTGTCCAAGAATATATAGTACAGTACAACAAATGGCAGAACATGAATTCAGAAGATGAAGCTTCTCCACTGGCTTAGTGATCTACGCTTTCTGCCTCAGTTTCTCCTATGTCACTACAATAAGGAATGCAAACGACTCACTCACTGGATCTTTAAGTCATAGGAGACGAGGATGCTAAAGTCAAATAAGCAGTCTGACTGACCTGCTGAACAGGAACAGCGCATGGCATTCAGAGCCTGGCAACTGTCTTACTCTCGCCAATGGCCTGGGGCAAGATATTAAAGGTCTCCATCAATGTCCTCTTATGAAAATGAAGATTATTGGGGCTGGGCAGTGGTGGCACATGCCTTTAATCCCAGAACTTGGGAGGCAGAGGCAGGTGGATTTCTGTGAGTTCGAGGCCAGTCTGGTCTACAAGAGCTAGTTCCAGGACAGACTCCAAAAGCTACAGAGAAATCCTGTCTCGAGAAAAAAGAAAGAAAGGAAAGAAAAAAAAAGGAAGGAAGGAAGGAAGGAAGGAAGGAAGAAAGAAAGAAAGAAAGAAAGAAAGAAAGAAAGAAAGAAAGAAAGAAAATGAAGATTATCTGTATTGCCTAGTCAAAACTGTCCTCAGCTAAACCTTTAGTGGGGCAGGGAGATTTTCCTCCATATCCACAGAGACCATGCACAAATTGCTAATATTTCTTTTCATGAATCAAACACACACTGCTGGAGCCATTCTGAGATGGCTATTTCTGGGATTGGTGGTCCTAGTTTTATAATGTTATAAGAGCATCTATGTCATTTGTTTGTTTATTTGCTTTTCAAGAAAGGGTTTCTCTTCGCAATAATTCTGGCTATCCTGGAACTCACTCTGTAGACCAGGCAGGCCTCAAACTCACAGACATCTGCCTGCCTCTGCCTCCAGAGTGCTGGGATCAAAGGCGTGCACCAACCAAAGCCTGGCAATGTCTACTCTCTATGTCAGTCTTAAATGGCCTCAGCAGACACACACAAATGTACATGAGCATACATGCACATACAAGGCAACAAAAATTACAACGATATTAGAAACTCAAGTGCCTTATTAAACTGCAAAAACTAAAGCTGGAGCTTTAGGTAGAAGAGCTGCTCCAAGTTTGCAGTCTTTCCAATTCTGTGCCTATAGCACTGCCTGAGGCAAGCAGAGAGAACTCGTTGGATATTTTACATAGATGGCTAGAAAATTGGTTTGCTGAATGTCCACCTTTCACAAAGCACTCAAAACGTGATCAGAAACATGGCTGGTAAGATGTCCTGTCAAAATCTCATCTCCTAACCGTTAACCATTCTTTAACATCATATTTTATTTTGTAGTCTACAACATAGAACATGCCCATTACATCCTAGATCATCTTCATTATATGCTCAATGAGTCCTTATAGCTCCAATTTTACAACTTCAAAGGTCACAAACCTAACACAGAGCAGATGAAAATTTAACCTTGAACCCTCATACCAAGCATTTGCCTCTGATATAAGGTGAGAAGCCTCCGGATTTGAGAGAACGATTTAACTTCAGGAACTAGAAAACAAGTACGTAAAACTGAAATTGCAATTAAGCAGAGAATGCAAAATTCAGAAAAATAAATATCTTCTGTATTCTCATATATACAGAAGGAAAAATAGAGATTTTAGAAAGGAAGAAAGTGAGGAAGGAAGGGAAGAAGGAAGGGGAAGGGAGGGAGGGAGAGAGGGAGGGAGGGAGGGAGGAAGGGAGGGAGAGAAGGAAGGAGGGAGGAAGGGAGGAAGAGAAGGAAGGAGGGAGGAAGGGAGGAAGAGAAGACAGGGAGAGAGGGAGGGAGGGAGGAAGGGAGGAAGAGAAGACAGGGAGAGAGGGAGGGAGGGAGGGAGGGAGGGAAGGAAGGGAGGGAGGAAGGGAGGAAGAGAAGACAGGGAGGGAGGGAGGGCAGGGAGGGAGGGAGGGAGGGAGGGAGGCTTGGCTTGAAAGTGGGTAACTGATGGAGCAAAGGGGGCTAGGAGTGAATGAAACATGAATGAATTGAACTGAAGTACATTGTACAGATCATCACGAAAGCCAGTCTCGTGTAGAAATAAAAAATGCACTTTAGTTTGGATTGTGCCTCAGCACCAAGTAAAAGGGCAGAAACGACAGCTTCCCATCTGTGGTCTCACAGAAGGTGACACATGTCTAAGGAAAGCAGTGTGCACTTCTAGGTGACCATGAACACTTTCTCAGGCCGCCCCAGTGAAGTTTCACAGATGCGTTGTCCTCACCCAAAGTGTTAAAAAACAAGCCACTAAAGAAGAACCTACAACGGTGGCTTTCACGCAGGCTTTCATCAAAACCTCTCCTCACAGCAGTGGAAAGGTTCCTAGCCATGCCATCACCAGCCTGTGCGCAGGGTTTGACGGTGATGTGTCCTCTACAGCTCGCGGGTGCTTCAGAAGGCAGTGAAACTCTCCATAACTCACACGGGGTCAGGACAACTGGAAAACCCATGACAACCTTTGCAGTGATGTCAGATATCCTAGGTTACTTCTGTGGATTTTAGGCCTACTGGTCCAATGGAATAGATAAATCACTTCTCAAATGATCTTTCCTCTCCCAAGAATGCTCTCACCTCCAGAAGCAATTTCAGTCAGAAAACAAAAACAAAAACAACAAATGCCAAAAAAAAAAAACCATATATATTCAAATTCAAACTTGTAAATTAACTTGTAAATTCTCAACCTATTAATTGGAATTTATGTGAAGTTAGACTCAGAACCTAACTGAAATTAAAATAGCATTATTAAAATTTTCTGTTTTATTCAAGATAAAATCAAGCAGAAATGTAGAATCTATGGTGGAAAACAGGAGAGAAAGACAAAAAGAATGCTGACAATAAGGACAGGCACACATGCACACACACATACACACACACACACATGCACACATACTACACACACTCTCACACACACACACACACACACACCACAGTACACAACAAAGATCATTTCAATGGGCTTTTCATGAACTATGGTTCAAATCTATCATTTCAAGCAATAAAAAATTCAAACCCTAATGTAATAATGCAAAAAAAGCAACAATAAAAAGTTTAAGTAGCAAAGTCTAATCTAGCAAATGAGCAATAAGACAGTGCTTTGTGAGAAAAACAATTCTGCTAACGTCTAGTAAGCACACCATCCCAGCCATCTCTGAATAGGGATCATTGCCAAGCAAGGAACTCTGCAAGGAGAGAACTGAGCACCCGGGCTCCTACGGAGCTCCCCAGTCTGATGGCTAAGGTTTGTAAGGAATGATATATATTTGAGTTTCTCTTCTCAGAGGAGAGGTCTAGACTACGGCTGCCTAGAAACCATTTAGAGAATTCCAAAAGTTATTTCTTCAACATTTTTTGTACTTTCATAAATTTCAAGTGGCAAAAAAGATTACTTATAGTAAGAGTTATTTCAAGTAAATGATGTTATGATATAAATTTGGAATTCAGTCCCCAGAAGCAAGTAAAATGTTAGATTAGGACAAAGGCATTAGATGACAACTATGGGTGGCCCCCAACTCGAACCATCAAAAGCCAAGTGATTTTTAACTATACTATCTCAGCCACCATCCTAACATACTTATCAAGAATACAACATATTCCAGGGCTTATAAATGATCTGGTTGTCTCATTAAGGTAATGTTTGTCAGTATTTAATTGCTTCCCTCCCTGATTTTAATTTCCTCACCTGTCAACATCGATCAGAAACAGTGAAATCATCTGACATATTAGTTGATTATGTTCAAATTAATCAAGATTTTTTTTAAAGTAAAATTGCTTTGGCCCTAAAGGTAATGCACAACTTCATAATTTAATATTTAGGAGAGGTCTACAATGGAACAATCTAAAAATTAAATGGAAGACTTTAGGAGACCCGAGGAGATATGTAAGTTATTTTCACATCTAGAGATGTGAACGTTAAAAGGCCAAGACTATCATTAAAAAGAAATTTAATCAACTAGTGTTCTCGGAACAACAGTGGACCATGCCTGCCTGCAGGCAGGAAGAAGCGTGGTTATCTCGGAATATTTGAGAGATATGTTAGGGAGGAATGAGTAAGAATGAGCTTGCCTTAAATAATACAACTTAATAATGTACATAAAGTAACATTAAATATAATATATAATAGTCAATAATAATCTGGCTACTCAGAAGTTGCCATTGATATTGGTAACTGTCAACAGCTCAATGTATGTTTCCATGCAGATTGATCAGAGCAGAGGAACTGAGGGAGCTAGGATTGGTGTTATTAGTAATAGTAGCCATCTTTGCATGAGAAAGGAGGCAACGCTGAGGCTCAAACAACAAAGGAACACCTAGATATTTTTAAAGCATATAGGTGTTTTGCACATACATATGCCTGTGCACCATGTGTGTGACTGAAGCCCACAGTCCAAACAAGGATATCAGATCCCCCGGGGAACTGTGAGCAGCCATGTGAGTACAGGAAATCCAACCCAGGTCCTCTGGAAGAGCAGCAAGCACTGCACCGTTTCTCCAGATACAGCAAAACAACTGTTAGATACCTAGTCATGGACAGGCCTGGCCTCATGGTCTATGTGAACTGAGCAGCGCACTACAATTACTCAGCAGAGAGGGCAAAATATAAATCTTCCATATATAATTATTCAGTGCTAATATCTACCAGAAACAGTGCTTGAAACACACTTAAGAAACCCTGAGC